AGTTTCAGGCCAGGAGCCAAGAGACCTGCCCAGGCTCTGACTCAGGCTTGCCTGAACTTCCCCAAGAAACCGAGAATGGGTCCCTTCCAGATGCCCAAAAATGCCATCCAGGGAGGTGAGCTGGGGGCCCCGGAGACTCTCCAACCTCCGCCAGCTGCCATAGAACTCAAGTCCATCGCCCCAGATGAGCAGGAGGACATCCGCCCAGGTGCCCAGCAGCGACCGGCAGCCTCCGCACAACAGACCTTGCCTGCCTACTGCCCAGGCCTGCACCATGTCCCATCACCCAGCAGCGAGCCACGATGGGGCCCAGCCTCTCAGAATGCTCTTCCGGAGACTGGAAAACGGATGTTGGAGCTCCAGCCTCCTGACAGCTCCCTCGTTTCCCCTCTCCTGAGAAGCCGGGAGCCTTCCTTGCTCACAGCCCTCACGTCTCAGAGAAGTCTGAGGCTCCCTGTGTTCCTGTCCCCCTGAGTGTCCTCTATGAGGACCTTCAGGTTTCCTCCTCCTCAGAGGACAGCGATTGTGACCTGGAGTGAGACTGCAGGTGGCAGGGGCTCCATGGCTTCCCGCTCCCATGACTTGGAGGGGACTGCGGAACTGAGGAGCATGGAGCAGAGAGCAGACTGTGTGTGGTGACTCCCAAGCTCCCCAGCTCTGGTGCTTCTGTGGATGTGGGAGCCCAGGCCAGGCGGGGACCACATGCAGAGACTCTGCCTCATTGAATTCTGGTGAGGGACATTGTAGTTTCCAGGGCTCTCCGGAAACCCACCACCAGAAACTTCTGTGCCAGCGATTCATTGCCCCAGAAACTGGGTGACGTGCAGGAGTCAGACTTCCGCTGTGATGTCAGCAGGAAACTGGGGAATTACTGTGTGTTTGCTCTCCAGATGACTGAATCAGGGAACAGTTAGGCAACCCTGAGAGATGCAGGCCTTCAGCTCTGCCCCGCCCTGACAGCAGTGTTTTGGACGCTGTGAAGCGTTCTGCGCAAAGCGTTCTTGTGGTGTTTCCTCAGCCTGCAAAATTGGGCTCTGGAATCCCATTGGAAATAGGTGTGTTTAATTGGTTTTGAAGTGAATAAAGTTCTCAAAAAGAGGACGTACTCTCTTTTCACTTTCATTCCGTGTTTGTGTGGAACTGATTTTCCAAGGGCTTGAAAATTTCTTGACTTGTTAGCAATTCAAGTCATTCTGTCTCCGAAACAGAGTTGATTGAGGGGACCGCAGGACTTGGCAGGACCTTTGACTTCTTAAACATCCACAGGGGCAAGAGAACCTCAGCCCCACTCTACCAACACGCACCTAGTCAAATTTTGCCAAGTGAATCTCACCCAGGCTAACACGTGGGGAGTTTTGCTTGCACCACGAGTCCCCATTTGGCTCACCGCCATGCCACGCATGGAGTTCAAACTGTGACGGTCCCCATGAAGTGGTTTCCGGATGTGCGTATGAACGAGGCACACTTTCATTCGCCAAGTAGAACCCAGTAAAGCTGAAGTAAACTCCCAGATTTGGGATGTACTTCAGAGGTAGAATATTCATCCTGTCTTCTTTCCGGATGCCTGAGCACCGGGCCTTTCCACGCTTCTCCCCCTGATCCTAAGAGTAGCTGAGGTTGAGACTCACTGAAAGCTCTAGGCAAAGGTATCCCATCATGCACAGGCTCTCTCCGTTCTCTGACCTGGGAACAATTCTGACCAGGATTTCACATCTAGGAGGCCTCGGAACTGAGCGGGATTGTCTGAGCGACGCCAAATGGCTGTTCCCTTTCCGCCCCCGTTGAGGGTCGTTACCTTGATTAGCCAGATCACCTAGAAAGTATCAGTATCCAGAATCAACAAGATCAACTCTCTGCTCCTCTGACAGCAAAAGGAGCATGACCAAAATGAACCAAAGAGCGTGGCAGGAACCGATGTGACCGGAAAGCTCAGAGATCGGCCACAGGGGGATGTAAGCAGATGTTCCCACCTGAATCATGAATAATTAATGAAGCGCAATTCCAAGGGGAATGGAGTTTCAGCAGATGCAACCAAAGTTCCCGGACATGAGAGTTCCACAGAAAGTCCGCTGGATCTTCGCAAATCCAGAGAAATGGCAAGGGGACCCAAGGAAATAGAGCCCCAGCGGTGTCCTGGAGACTCTTCAGGCATAATGCCTGGAGTCACAGGAGGAGGTGGAGAAGGAGCCAAGCACTGAAGGACAAAGTGGTTTTGACTTTCTTCATCTGTGTTTCACCGCAGTCCATTTCACGGTGGTAGAATAAATATATTGGTTTTCTGTCGGTTTGTTGGAGTCGAAAACCTGTGATTTTGTTGGTTTTTGGTGGGAGTTTCACTCTGGAAAAGAAAATATTCTG